GAGGGACTCAGACTTTAGGCAGAATGTACCCCCCTCTGGCCATTGGCACTCTTCCCGGGCCACACTCTGCACTGGCCTTGCTCAATAAACTCATTGATTGCCTGCTCTTGGCTGGTTGTGTCCTTGAAAGGGTGACCATGCTTGTCTGGCTGGAGAGCAGAGGGGTGTGTGTGTGTGTGTAGAAATCTGTGACTTTTGCATAGCTGGAACACAGCCTACTCTACCAACGTAAGCATGGCATTCATTGCTCCACACACTGTTGTGGCCCCACCTCTCACGTGGCCCCGGGAAGGCTGCCCATGAGGAAATGCAGTCCTCCTCCAGCTGAAAGAAGGAGGTTGGGGCAAGAGTATTGTTAGCCTAGAAATGGAAGCAAGAAGAAATCCCGACGAAAGAAGAATGGCAGACAAAATTAATGGACTACGGAGAATTAGATAAAATGACAGGATGGATTCGAAACCTGCGGGACCAGAGATTCACAGAAGACTGGAAGAAATATACGAACTATTTGAAGAGTGACTGTAATCAACAATTACGCTAGTAGGACTACAATAAGTTTTGTAAGGAGAAATATATGAAATATTGCAAAGTAGAGAAAGAATAGAGATATTAGTTATGAGATTTAAATGTAATAGTGAAAGTAAGAAATGCATATTAAGTGAATAGATTGGAAAATTTTCAGATGTGATTGATGGAAGTAAAAAATAATAATGGTACAAGATATGAAAGTATGTTTAATTATTGTTGAAAATGATATGTTGAAAACTAATAAAAATTATATAAAAAAGAAAGAAAGAAGAAGGTTAGTCCCCCCCTAGACTAGATAAAGAAGGAGTGGCGATGTAGGCAGTAGAATGAAGCAGGCATGTGGGCTGCCCCACAACAAGCTACAGGTAAGGAAGAGCACTTTTGAATGTTGTATGACCTTCAAAACAAAACAAAACCCTCCATGCAGCCAAATGAAACCTTAGCACTTCTGGGAGGCAGGTTCTAGCCTGGACATTTCTGGATGTGTGTCAGGGACTGTCTGGATGAAGAAGAATGGTGGAACCTTGCCTCCCAAGAGACCTCCAGGGAGGGCTCCAAAGATGACACCTTAGAGCCTGGAGCCTGGTGGTAGGTCTAAAGTGGTGTGGGTTGCTCTATCACCTCATTCTGCTGCAGGTGTAGACCCCGTGTCAGCACAACAGCAAAGCAAAGCAAAAGAGAAGAGGTGTGGACTTTCCCCCCTCAAGACATAAGTCAAAACACTTTGTCCCTGCTACGCATTTTGGTGCCCTATTCCAATTCCTCAACCGGCAGAAAGGCAATCAATCCCAATTGCCTTTCCTCTTGTTAAAAATGGTGTCCTCTGGAGGTTTTTTATATGACAACTACCCCAGGCAATGGAGAAGTTATGACAAATGTTTGCTGACACAATCCAGGAGGCATGTGATATTTAACCCTTCCACCAGGTAAACAACAGTGGAAGACAAATTTATCAAGGGAAAACAACCTCATTAAGTCTGCCCTGAGATCTTGATTTCACAGCACGTTCCCTACTGTTCACAAAATAACCTACATTTCTCCTAAAAATAATAATGCACCAAACACTGAATTCCTTCACATTTGTTATTATTAAAGCTCCAGACAGATGAAATTTGCTGTCAATTAGCTGCCTTAAATTTGTCAGATGGACCGATTTAATGGACTAATTACTGGAAATAATTGATTTATCTCAATGCAGGTGGTCACATTTTGAAGATGAAGGCAACAGTTTCTCTTGACTAAGGAACATAGATGGTTTAAAAAGAGCATTTTGAAGAGCTAACAGGGGTGGATAAAAAGCGGAGACATCACATTGCCAACAAAGGTCCGTATAGTTAAAGCTATGGTTTTCCCAGTAGTGATGTAAGGAAGTGAGAGCTGGACCATAAAGAAGGCTGATCGCCAAAGAATTGATGCTTTTGAATTATGGTGCTGGAGGAGACTCTTGAGAGTCCCATGGACTGCAAGAAGATCAAACCTATCCATTCTTAAGGAAATCAGCCCTGAGTGCTCACTGGAAGGACAGATCGTGAAGCTGAGGCTCCAATACTTTGGCCACTTCATGAGAAGAGTAGACTCCCTGGAAAAGACCCTGATGTTGGGAGAGATGGAGGGCACAAGCTACCAGCATGAGTTTGACCAAACTGCGGGAGGCAGTGGAAGACAGGAGTGCCTGGTGTGCTCTGGTCCATGGGGTCACGAAGAGTCGGACACGACTAAATGACTAAACAACAACAACAACAACAACAGGGGTGGATATAAGGTACGGAAACCCTTTCGCAGTGTAGTGTTTCATCCTTTTTTGCTATAAAAAATGTATTTATAAATTGTGGCTAGTGGGTGAGGGGCAGTGACAGTGGTGTGGGAAGTTTGACAAGACAGAAAGAGTGGTGGCAAGACTGGAGGAGTTGAGGGTTGGTAGTGGCAGCCTGGAGTTCCCCTGACCCCACTGCCACCTTGGCTTTCTCCATTCTGATAAATGGAGTTCTACCAGCAGGAAGATCTCACTGCTGACTCCCGCCTTTCACAAGCCACTACTGAAGCTTGGCTTGTTGGGTTAGGTTCACAACAACTGGGAATGCATCGGCCAATCTCTCTCAAAGATTGCAAATCGCTCCGTTCCTTGAGCCGGTGCAGTGATATTCTCCATGGAGGTTGGTTCATTCAGGCAAACTGGGCACTGTCCCACCAACCTTGGCCTGCCCTCGGCCAGCCCTCACCTGCCTGCCTTCCTCCTTAAAAGCAGCCCTGGCTTTCAGCCCTTAGCCTCAGAGTTGCCTGTGTAGAACTCTGCAGGGAGGAGAATGAGCACAAAAGAAGGATTAATTGGCTCTGCCTGTCACTGGCTCCAGTACTAGTTACTGTTGGTCTCCTTGCCTTCTGCCCTACCTGTCCCAATGGGTATACGCCCTCAATGGATGCTCTGAATAACTGATTTTCAACTGATGGAGAGTGATAGAAGATCTAAGTCCTGCCTAACTTACAGTGAATTGCATTACTTGCTATCTGAGACCCAGAAGTGGTTCACGTCCCAGCCTAAGCTGCATTATGCAAGTTTCAGCTACATCATTTCTTCTGTTTTGTTTTTAATTTCCTTCTGCATTTTAATGAGAAGGGAAAAGAGAGAAGCAGAAAAAAGGGGAAAGCCTAGAATCATAGACCAGGAAGGGAGAAATTAGGCTGCCTAAACTAGGATTTTGTGTGATGCAGGAAATCCAAGGGAGTCAATGCATCCCCAACAAATGGCCATTCAGCCTGTGCTCAACAGATGGAAAACTCACCATATTTCCAGGTGATTGCCTCCATTGTTGAACTGCAAGGACATGGATGGCCAACGTGGTGCTCTGCAGATGTTTGTGTCCCTCCAGATTTTGCTGTATTACATATTCCATAATCCCTGACCTTTGGCCATGCTGGTGGGACTGTTGGAAGCTGTAACAACAGCTGGAGGGAATTGCATTGAGTTACCCCACTCAAGGAAAGTCCTTTGGGAAAGGAACTTTTGCATGGAAGTCAAAGATAGGGGCTACTCAGCACTAAGCACAGGTCAACGTGTCAGTTTTGGCTTCTGTCAGTTTCTTGTTTTCCAGTATTATTCTCAGTTCTACATGAGTTTGCCATAATAATAATAATAATAATAATAATAATAATAATAATAAATAATAAAATAATCATCCTCTCAAAAATTCAACAGCATTTTAGTGCGGATTTCTCCTAATAAACACATTTTTTTATTTGCAGTTCCCCCAATTTATTTATTTTTTGCAAATTGGTGTTTCCTAATATAATACATTTTCATGAATATATCCATTTTTATGCACATTTCAGCCTAGTATATGCATTTTTGTATACATGACTTGGCCAGAGAGCCGCACTGTAAAATTTGGAGAAGTGCGGATTTCAAAGGCTGCCTTTGTTTCAGTTTTAAGAAAGTGCAAATTAGGTACATTTGCCTTTAAATGCAAACTGAATCGAATACCTTCCCCACCCCTACTCAGCTGACACAGACCCCAGAGTTACTTAGTACAGCTCATACCAGGCCCATGCAGAGCTTGTCTGAAACCCAGGGCAGGAGTCTTGAGCATGAGATGTGCTGCCTCAGCTCTGCTGCCTAATCTGATCTGATGCTACACGCAAGTATGCAGTAACTCAGGTCCAGATTTTACTATTGAAGACTTCCATAAAAAAAGGTAAAAGGTAAATGACCCCTGCATGATTAAGTCCAGTCAAAGGCGATTATGGGATTGCGGTGCTCATCTCGCTTTCAGGCCGAGGGAGCCGGTGTTTGTCCATGGACAGTTTTACGGGTCATGTGGCCAAGCATGACTAAACCACTTCTGGAGCAACAGGACACCGTGATGGAAACTAGAGTGCACGGAAACTCCATTTACCTTCCCACTGCAGCGGTACCTATTTATCTACTTGCACTGGTGTGCTTTTGAACTGCTAGGTTGGCAGGAGCTGGGACAGAGCAGCGGGAGCTCACCCTGTCACAGGGATTCGAACTGCTGACCTTCTGATCGGCAAGCCCAAGAGGCTCAGTGGTTTAGATCCATTACGTCATTGGTCAGCTGGGAGGCAAGGGGCATTCATGGCATAACAGTTTAAGTCTGGTGGAGCCCCCAACCAGCTTAGCCCTCCGAAGCCCAGGGCAGGTGTACCCCTGCGTCTGTATGGGTCTAGACTGTGCTTTGAGCTTGTAATGCCTAAATAGGGCTCTTGACTAAAAGCATCAATTTCTTTGCAGTAAAAGAATCTTGTCGTTTTTATGATTTGGTGTGAACGAACCCAATGCTGTTCAAGGGCTGAATGTGTCAACTGCTCTGGGATTCCTCCACACCCCCTCCTGTTCTTTAATGGACGCTCTACATAGAAATAAACAACAATGCCAAGGATGGGCAAGGGACACAATATAAAACAGCACTTTATTATCTAAAGACTTGCAACAGTTCCACGGGCAATTCCTACCATACCTGGTTTGGATCCTTCATCAACGGATCCGTTGTAGACCTGGTTTATGAACTCTGGTCTGTTGTCATTCATGTCAATAACGTAGATGTAGAGATCAATGGGGTTCTCTACTTTGTTTCCATTCATATCCACTGCATGTGCTCGAAGCTGTTAAGAAAAAGAGAGGAGGGGGAAAACCACGTCAATAATGGGATTCAGCACTCGGCGAGGCTATGTGTCATCTTCTGTCATTTAGACTCTTCGACAACATTAGGATTTATAACTGTCATAATAATGGAAATTTTCTATGGGGTTTTCTATAGCAAAGCTATCCAGCTGATTTTGGTATGCATAATAATATGAACCTTGAAGCTCTGCTGCAGTTTTAGTGGCTTGCTTGAATTGCTGTGTTCTGGACAAACCTCATGGGTAGTGCAGCTATACATATGAAAAAGCTGCTTTTTCCATAAAAGAGAAAGGAAGAGGAAGATAAGCAAATCCCATCATAGTAATGGGGAAATCTGACCTCATTTCTTGAAAGTTCCACTGGATTTGCACTAAACTCTAAGTGTGGGGTATCAGTTTTGGGGGATGCTATCTGGGGTAAGGTTTTTGGATTTCTCAAAAAATGGAGGACACATTGTCATATTTTGAAGTCCTGTTGGGACCTAAGAGTTCTTCATCCTTCCTCCTGGTTTCTGTTTGGCACAGTTTCACTGTGGCAGCCTCAACAGTGGGTTACTTAAGTCTCTCAGGCCAGTGTATCAACAAATGTCCATGTACAGGACAGCGGAAAATGCCTTTATAGAGACAGATTTTTTATTTTTGCAGCCCAAACCCAGAAACGATAATGGCAAAAGCAGTCAATCAAGAAGAAAGGAAAACTTCCGGAACTTTTTTCTCTGCCAAGCCGTTATCAATACAAATATTAAGAACACATCATTTCTTCAGAACCACCATCTGTTTTTTCATCCTAAAAAACCCATCTTCCATTTTCTCAGATGATTACTCATTGTTTCTATTTATGTAGGTATTTTTTTTAAAAAAAACTTTTTCCTGTTCCTAGTGGGCCATTTTTGTGGTTATTCACACTGACACTAAAAATGATTGAACACAGCATGCCATTTCAGCTGAGGACTCAACAACTAATTGCAAATAAATAATGTGTTGTCGTAGGGATGTGGAGGAGAACTTTGTACAGTCCTTTTTTTATTAAAAAAATGAACTGGTCTAATTTTCACCTCCTGGATGGGGATACATGAATCAGAACAATTATTATCCTTCCAATAGTCCACTTCTCTGAATGTTGCAATACAATTCTTGGCTCAATAAATTTAAAAGTCCATCTTTTAGGATAAAATCTGCTTCAAAACCATGTATTTTAGAAACCAAATTTTGTGCAGGTTTAATCCTGAAATGGGATGGAATGGGTTTAGGAATAAACACATGCAAAACTGATGTGTACTGGAAAGAAACTGACCTGCCCATTTCCACTGATGCAGAAATATCTGCATGTGATACATGCACCACATTTGTAGTGTGGGAGCTGCTACTTCCACAGCTCCTTCAAATGTCATGAAGGTGTGTGGCATTTGCCCTCCTAGGTGACATCATGCTGGGTCATAAGGAAAGGGTTAAATGAGTGTGAAGTGATTGGCCAGTGGGAACCCAAGGGGAGGTGTTAGAGTTAGAGTTGTTAAGGAGTCAGTCGGGTGTTAGAGAAGAGAGAGGGAGTATAAGTCTGTGGGTTGGGATAGTCTGATGTGAGTGAGTGAGAGAATCTGTTAGGAGGAGTCAGTTAAACAGTTGGTATAATCAGTTAGTAGGTAATATGAAGGTATAGGTCAGTAAAGAAACTAAGATTAAGAAACTGACAAGAAAAATTATCTGAAACCATAAACTTGTTAATGCTTATAAATAAACTTGTTTAATTGGTTTAATGTTAACAACTGTCTGGACTCCGTGTGTACCTGAGAGAAACGGGTTGGTGGCAGCGGGGAAGCAATCACAGTGGTGGCACAGGGATCAATAGACCGTCAAATGTCCAGGGACCCTGTATAATCGCCACAAGGTGATATCAGGAAAATCCTGCTGCTGCTGCTGCTATCCAAGTGGCTTCAGGGGGCAGGGAGGATCATGAAAGAGGAGAGGCTCTGGAAGAATGAGAGGTCTGGTGGGAAAGGCATCCCCCTACCTTCTCCTGTGAAGATGCTGCTGCTGAGTGCCCCCCTTTTCTCCTTTCTCAGCCTTGTCACCCACACTTGCCTCTTCTTCCTGCCGGATGCCCATCTCCACTGAAAGCCCCAAATGGCTCTGGGCTCTCAACCTGACCTGCAGCAATCTGGGACCCAGATCTCTCCAAATAGGTGCACATTGGCTCAGGGTTTGGGCCACAGATAAATCTGGTGACCAGCCCTTCTGATTATAAACCATCCAACACATTGAGGCTGAAAACCAGGACCTGCGTCTTCCAGGCCACTCTCCCACACAAGTCATGTGACCCTTGTGAGAGCATAAAGCCCAAAAATGTGTGGTTTTGGGTTCTGGGCTCTCGTGAGAGATATCACACATACAGGATGTCCTGATTAATCAGGGCAGTTGAGGGGTATGTGGTTAGTAATGCAACCTTGAGTGTATTGACTTCAAAGAAAATTCCATTGAGAGCAATGGCACTTCTGGATGTAAGCAGGTCTGGAATTTGTTTAATAAGCCCTCATAATGAAGTACTCATACTGAAGTAGTGATGTATGGAAGTGAAAGCTGGACCATAAAGAAGGCTGATCGCTGAAGAATTGATGCTTTTGAATTATGGTGCTGGAGGAGATTCTTGAGAATCCCATGGACTGCAAGAAGATCAAACCTATCCATTCTTAAGGAAATCAGCCCTGAGTGCTCACTGGAAGGACAGATCCTGAAGCTGAGGCTCCAATAGTTTGGCCACCTCATGAGAAGAGAAGACTCCCTGGAAAAGACCCTGATGTTGGGAAAGATGGAGGGCACAAGGAGAAGGGGACGACAGAGGACGAGATGGTTGGATAGTGTTCTCGAAGCTACCAGCATGAGTTTGAGCAAACTGCAGGAGGCAGTGGAAGACAGGAGTGCCTGGTGTGCTCTGGTCCATGGGGTCATGAAGAGTCAGACATGACTAAATGACTAAACAACAACAACAACAATGAAGTACTGCCATGCTACTGAACTGTCTCCACATCCATGGTATACATTTTAAGGTTGCACAACTGACAGTGTGTAGTAGGTTCTAAGCATGGATGGGCCACAATGGTACTAAGATGTTCGGTTTTTTAATTTTAGGACCTTCCCTTGAATTTCCCTTTTACCTTGTTCCATTTTCTTTCAGATTTTGTTCAATGAGTTTGCAGCTCTTTCTTGGGGAGATACAGCCAAATGACACCAATCAAGAGCATATACAAACACTTAACCAATATACTGGATGTCTTGAATTCCATTGTGAATCACTTTGCTTACATTGAATCCGAGCTGGCATTCTCTTGTCCATTCGCCAACATTTAATGCCAATTTAGCTCACAGGCTACATAATTTACTGTCACAAGATGGCCAACTTTAACTTTTATGGAAAATAAGACCATCAGGGTTAGCTATCATGGCCATGTGCTACGTCCAGCATCAAAGGCAGTACGCCTCTGAATTCCAGTTACTGGGAAGCACAAGTGAAGAAAATGCTGTTGCATTGAGGTTCTGATTGAAGCCTTCCCCTAGACACCTGGTTAGCCACTGTGAGAACAGAATGCTGGACTAGATGGGCCATTGAGCTGAACCAGGAGGTTCTTCTGGTCCTGAGTTTGGAGAAATCCATTTGGAGCTCTCTAGTCTGCTCAGAATTCCAGCTTTCTAAAAAGGCTGGTTTCACCTGCAAAGTTGCCCACTTTGCAATCTATCCCTGACCCTGAAACATTTTATAAATACGCTAAATAATATCAACAGGAGGGGAAAACACACACCCCTTTATGCTGTTTTCCCTTGGTTGTGAAAGGTTATCCATTTATTCCTAACCTCTTGTTTTAAAATCCATTAACTGGAATGGTAGGAGCTCTGGTTTTCTTATCCCAACATTGCTATGTTTCTTCAGGGATCTTTGGTGAGGAATTTGTTAAAAGGAAAGGTTAAAAAGCTAGCGAAGGGAAGCATCCCTTTGCAGAAGCCATGCTGTCTTTTCCTAAGCGAGGCTTATTTTTCTAAAGGTTTAACAATTCTAGTCTTAATCATGCTTTCGACTGATTTACTAGAGACAGAAGTTAGGTTGACAAGCCTATAATTTCTTGGATCCCACCTGACTCCTTTTGTAAATTGGTTTTACTTTGGCTACCTTCCAGTCAATGGGTTAAGAAGGTACTTTTTTCTGGAGAAGTTGCATATTTTAGTTAATAGTTCAGCAGTTTCATATCTTAGCTCTTCAATAATCCTTAAATGCCACCAATTCTCCATGACTTGTTATTTTAAAATGTCATCCTTTGTCACCTCTATTTGACACAGTTCTTTTGACGCATTATCTGAGGGGGGAAAGTGGTTTTGTGCACATATTTCCCTAGCGTGTCTTGATGTGAAAACACAGGAACACAATTCACTCCATTTCTCTTCCATTTCCCTCTCTCCCCAGACCATGCTCCCTCTCCCCAGATCATACCCCTCACCAGCCTTGCTCTGCATCATTCTTGAATGCTTTTGCCTGGCTGGAATTTGCCCTTGAACCGGGATAACGTCTCTTGCTTGCCTGGGTCGAGGTGTATGTGAAGAGACTTAGGGACATAGGAACCTGCCTGATATTGAGTCAGATCATTGGCCTATCCAGATCAGTATTGTTTTTGCTTGGTGGCACTGGTTCTTCAGGGTTCCATCCATAATTCCTCCTCACCTCTACCTGAAGATGCTGGAGAATCAATCTCGGTCCCAGTAGGGCCTTCTCAGTGATGGCTCCGACCTGGTGGAATGCTCTGTCCCATGAGACCAGGGCCCTGCAGGATTTAACTTCCTTCCGCAGGGCCTGTAAGACAGAGCTATTCTGCCTGGCTTTCAATTTGAACTTAGCCTGATCTTTTATTCCCCTTCCTTCCCTCCCCCTCCCATTTTTATGAAGATTACCTGCTCTGGGATCCCACAGCTAATTCTCCCCTGGTCTCCTCGCTGGCCTAAAT